AACAGTGCGGATAACATCGTTCCATTCTAAATGGGAATGACATGTATTAAGAATGTTTTAATTAAAGATTTTGAACTTTAATTAAATTCATTATGAACATTGCTTTTTGATTATTATCCTTAAACATTATCCTCTCGTATATAACACTTATATACAATGTTTAAGGTTACATAAATAATCATGGAATTTTCATTGATATTCATAAAATATTCATAAATATATGCACATAAAATAATAAATAAACTCTTTTATTAAATAAATAATAAATATCCTATTACATCTCATGCTTCTAGGACACTATTCCCAACAATGACTCAGGTTGGATAAGGCATTTTTAGATCTGAAATGTGACTCATGTGGTGGATAAGGCTATAATGGAGAAAACGAGACTACTATGTGAACCTACACAAGCAACTCCGTGGGAGAAATATTGAGAAATCCAAAAAAAAGAGTGCAGGGTTGAACAAGCCAAATTGGCTAATGGTGAGAACGGAGTCTTGATGCCTTTCGAGCCTCGAAATGTGCTCCATGGCATAGAGGTATTCGAATTTGCTACTAAAGGCTCAAAAACTTCCTAGTGCTCTAAGAAGGGATCAAATGAAGATCTAGCAGAGCTTCTTGAGTAGCATCGTTGTAATGACTGAGAAAATCTCAGACCTTAAATAATACAATTTATGTATTTAAGCCAAGGATTTTCTTAGACAAATATTACGTGACTGAAGGATTTATGGAATTAATATATGTATTCCTCAATTCTGTAGCAGATTTCATGTTAAGTTCATGTTTTCGATCAAGTAAATTCGATCGATAAATTCTTGCCGTACTTTAAGGCGGAATAATTTTCAGTACAAGTATAGTTTGAGAATCTTAATTTCAAGAATCTCCAAACACAGCATGATGTTAGCAGCGTAAAAAAAAAACGCACTGACATTTTTAAAAAAGAGAAAATCCTTAATTGCCAGACAGCTAGGTCAAAGTCAGAAGATAAATACCCATAGTAGAAGGGTATAATGTAAACTCGGGAGTTGACACCGT